CAATTTTGTTTCCCTAGAACCACTCTCACTACCAATTGTCTTAGGCTGAGTTCTCTAGAGAAGCAAAACCAGTGTGTGTGTGAGTATATATATGTGTGTGTGTATACATATACATATACACATATACACATACACATATACATATATAAAACCAAACAAAACCCACTGCCGTTGAGTCAACTTCAACTCATAGCAACCCTAAAGGACAGAGTAGAATTGCCCTATAGGGTTTCCAAGGAGAGGCTGGTGGATTCGAACCACTGACCTTTTGGTTAGCAGCTGAGCTCTTAACTGCACAAATATATATATAGAGAGAGAGAGACAGAGAGAGATTTATCTCAAGGAAATGGCTCTTGCAGTTGTAGAGGTTGGCAAGTCCCAAGTCCATGGTTCAGGCATCAGGCTGTAGGCTTCTCCTGATTCACACAGCTGCAGGGACTGACAAACCCAAGATCAGCAGGTCAGACAGCAGGCCGCTGGCTCATGTGCTGCGGAGGCTGACAGATCCAAGATCGGCAGGCAATATGGCAGGCTGCTGGCTCAAGTCCCAAGAACCAGAGGTCAGATAGCAAGCCGAATGCAGGATCCAGAGCAAGGAAGTGTGCTTCGCCAGAACATCCGGATGCAGGCCACACCCCAGAGGAAACTTCATTTAAAACTGATTGGCTGATAACATAAGATTCTATCATGGAGAATGATTACATCATTACATAACTGTCAAACTACATCATTACATAACTGCCAAACCAGTGAGGATTATGGCCCAGCCAAGTTGACACACAACCTTAAACATTACAGTTGCCATTTCTACTAAATTTTATCAATAGAAGTGGAAACTACAGGAAAGTAAAATTCCTTTGCCTTCACTGGATAACAGAAATACAAACTTACAGTCTCATAAGGCAGGAAATGATAGTTTATTCAATCTCTCCTCCCAACTCAAAATAGTTCCAGAAAATCAGAATCTACTCTGCATTTTGAAATCTTCATGAATAGAATTCCACAACTTCCTTAGTCTATTTTCCCATATTTCACAGCCCTCCATTTTATGACAATTATCATCTCTTTGTCTATAGACAATTTGGAATTTCTTATGTTCCCTGGGTTTCCCACGATCTGTTAAAATGCACAGATACATTGCTAATACCCTTTTCTTTAAACAGAAAAGGACCTCTCTTTTCTTGATCCCTGCTCTTAAGGGGGTGCTTAGCTGTGAAGAAGGTTATTTCTTCAAGATGTCACGATGAGAAGGGGGTAGAAAGAATGCTTGGCCAATTGTGCTAGAGTTAGTATGTTCTAGCCTGATAATCATCTATGCTGGAGAATAGTCTTCTGTATTCCTGCTTGCTATGACATCCCTGCATCTGATGAGGAATGTGGGGGCACAGCGCTCCTGCGATGCAATTCCATTCTGCAGTCAGGGAATGCTATCCCCATAAAGGTGCTTCCAAACTGCTTTGGTTCATGCTCCTGAGTTTTCGTGATTGGGTCATCCAAGTAAGAAAGAGAAAGGGAGTTTCAGAACACAGACAACCCCAACAAACTCAAACACATGCACATCTTTCACTGTATTGCAGACATTTACATCTCATGCTCAAAGACCTATAAAGCTTAGGCTGGGTTCTCTAGAGGAGCAAAACCACTGAAGCCTTAATATGTGTGTATATGTTGTTGTTGTTAGGTGCCATTGAGTCGGTTCTGACTCATAGTGACCCTATGTACAACAGAAAGAAACACTGCTCGGTCCTGCATCATCCTCACAATCGTCATGCTTGAGCCCATTGTTGCAGCCACTGTGTCAATCCATCTTGTTGAGGGTCTTCCTCTTTTTCGCTGGCCCTCTACTTTACCCAGCATGATGTGCTTCTCCAGGGACTGATCCCTCCTGATAACATGCTCGAAGTATGTGAGATGTAGTCTCGCCATCCTTGCTTCCAAGGAGCATTCTGGTTGTACCTCTTCCAGGACAGACTTGTTCATTCTTTTGGCAGTCCATGGTATATTCAATATTCTTTGCCAGCACCACAATTCAAAGGCATCAATTCTTCTTCAGTCTTCCTTACGCATCGTCTAGCTTTCGCATGCATATGAGGCGATGGTGTGTGTGTATATATATGTGTATGTGTATATATATATATGTCTATTTTAAAAGAGAGAGAGAATTATTGCAAGGAAATGGCTTATGCAGTTGTGAAGGCTGGCAAGTTCCAAATCTGTGGGGTCAGACATCAGGTTGGAGGCTTCTCCTGACTCACGTGGTTGCAGGGGCTGACGAACCCAAAATCGGCAGGTCAGATGGCAGGCTGCTGGCTCACATCCCAAGAACCAGAGGTCAGAGGATGATGAGTCAGATGCAGAATCCACAGAGGGCAAGCTTTGCCAGAACATCCATATATATTGGATTCAGGCCACACCCCCAAGGAAACTCCCCTTTCAACTGATTGGCCGCTCACATCAGATTACAAAATGGAGGATGATTACATAATATCTGCCAAACCACTGAAAATCATGGCCTAGCCAAGTTGACACATAACCTTAACCATCACACTGCCTATTAAGCCTAAATTCCTCATCCTTGCATCTGAGGGCATTTAATCAACTTCCTTGTTCTGTCTTTTGCAAGTAGAGGTCTCATTATTTCCCAGAGAAGAACCTCTCCATTAGCCAAGCTAATCTCACCATCCCCAGAACATGGTTTAGTTCTATGTCCTTGCTCATGCCATTGCCCTGTCATATAAGCTACCTGAGTTCCTTTTTCAATTCCTGCTTTCAGCTCTTTCAAAACAAAATTCAAATAGACCTGTTTCAGGAACCTTGTCCTGACCCCACCAGACTTATGATTCCTCTGCTGTGCCATCACTCAGCGTTTGTGGATTCACATGCTTCTATAGTGTAACTTGCTGCAGTAGGCAGAAGTCTACGATGCCCACACAAGATACCCAGCCCAGCCCCTGGTATACACACACCTTCTCCCTGTTATTCAATCAAACACTAATCTAGATGCAACTGTGAAGGAATGTTGCAGATTTAATTAAGGGTCCCTATAGGATCGCAATGAGTCAGAATCGACTGGACGGCACACAACAACAACAACAACAATTAAGGTTCCAAGTCAGACAATTTTAAGATAGGGAGATTATCAGGGGTGGGCCTGACCTAATCAGATAAGCCTTTAAAAAGAACTGGACTATTTTTGAAGAAAGAGTCAAAGTGTGAGAGGGATTCAACAAGAGAGAAATTCTCTGTCGCTGACTTTGAAGATGGAGGGGACCACATGGCAAGGAGTGTGGGTGGCCTCTAGGAGTTGCGAGTGGCCCTTGGTTGACCGCCAGCAAGGAAATGGGGACTTCAGCCCTACAACAGCAAGAAACTGAATTTGACCAGCAACTTGTGGTAATTTGTTGTACAGCAATAGAAAACTAATGAGCCTGCTTTTGTAGATCATGCTTTTGTGGATTTCATTCCTAGATAAGAGGAAAACGCTATGTTATTTATTTATTTTTGTACCCCTCCTCCCACCGCAGCCATACATAATGCTATTAGGGAGACTTGCCTTAACTGATTTGTTGAATAGGAGATATAAATCCTTGGCCATGAAGGTACCTGTTGTTAAGCAGCAGCTAGAGTCACTACCATTGTCAAGTCCTCCTGCCTGTGCTATAAACAAATTTCTGCACAGCTGATATCTTCTGGACATCTTCACCTGGATGTCCCACCAGTCCCATGAACTCAGTAAGTCCCCAAATTTCCTCTCCCAGATCTGTCCCTCCCCCAGTATTCCCTAATTCTGTTAATGGCACTTCCAACCCCCCAGTTATCTTGGGGCTTAGAACTGCAGCCACTGGTGACACCTGCTCTCTTGCCCTAACATTCAACCTGTTGCCAAGTTCTCTCTATTCATTCCCTCCGCTCTGTTTTTATTGTTACTGCCTGATTCAGTATCTCTCACCTAGAATACTGCAAGAGTCTCCTAGCTGTTCTCCTGGGACCAGTCTCTGATGAAGCTGCCCAAGCACAGCTCTAACTATGTCACTAACCTATTCAACTATCAACTACCTTACAAGAGAAGCCATTAGCTTTGTACTCAAAACTCTCCATGACTTAAATCTACCTTTCTCATATTTTCAATATTTCTTAAATGTGTATTTTTCCTACCTTCTAAGTTATTTTGGGTTGACCTTTTACAAATATTCTTTAAAACTTTCTTTGCTTTTGCAGGTCCGTGTACTAACCGTGGCTTTTCCCTGAAACCTGCATCTTACGGTTACTTTTCCTTGAGACCTGTTGCCCTTCCAATTCTCTACAATCGGATATTCTCATACATTGGACTCTTCTGTGACAGTAGCCACTTGGGTTGTTGAACTGCCAAGGGAAAATGTGGTTCCAGAGCCAAATCGTGAGTGCCCAGAGCTAAAACTTCATTCTGCTCGCCTTAAGCTTTCATTCCCTCCCCCAGGACACACGACACCATTTTATTTTGTTCTGGGGTGATCACTGGCCTAAATGTTGGGATCCGAATCTTAGCCCACAGCCCCCTCTCATAGTCACGGTCTGTTTCATTCCTTTGATTTTCAGTGATTTTAACCAGTCCCACCCCCCACCCCACGCCCAGTCTCCTGTGTCCACAGTGGTGTGCACCTTAGAGTTACCGCTTTTTGGAAACCAGTTTTGCCTCCGCCCACTCCTTCCTCCTCTAGGTTGGGGCTTCCAGTCTTCTCCCAGCCGCCAGTCAGAGTGCGCACTTTAATAAATGGTCTGGTCTTTAAAAAAAAGAAAAGAAAAAAAAAAAAAAAAAGCTTCCAAGGGTTCGTTTTAGAATTGGCGGGTGGAACTGGAATCCACTCCGCCAAGAAACCCTAGTGAATTTGGGGCATTCGTTTGACCGCGCAGCTTGCCTCTCACCCCTGGACCTTGCCGGCACTCCCTTCCTCCTGCTAGGGTTTCATGACGTAAGCAGCTTTCGCGGCGCACACCCCCCCCTCCGCCCCGTCTTGGTACGGCCTGTCCGGCGCTCGCCATTCCAGTCCCCCCTCTCTTTTCTCTCAGGTTGGTTCAGCCCCGGTCTACTCCGGGTTGGTGCTTAGTCGGCGCCAGAGCGACCCTCGACTCCGTAGAGGTAGTGCTGATCCTGTAGGTGCTTCCTCATCGCCGGCTTCGGCTTCTTCAGCCTCTTCGGCCTCCTTAGCCTCCGCGGGAAGCAGAGACCCCGGTGTATGCCCCACCCTTGACCCCACTCGAGATATGTCCACCCCGGCTCGGCGGCGCCTCATGCGGGACTTCAAGAGGTAAAGCGGGAGGGCAAGCCCAGGCCGGGGGCTGCCAGCCAGGGCGCAGGGCGGGTCCCAAGGCAGGGTGGGCGCGGTAGGGGCAGCTGGCCGCGGCCGCAAGTGCGGGATTGAGGGGCCCCTGGTTGCTTTTCTGAAGGTTGCAGGAGGATCCTCCAGCTGGAGTCAGCGGGGCCCCATCCGAGAACAACATTATGGTTTGGAACGCGGTCATTTTCGGGTGAGTCTGCGTTCCCGGTGGTTGCGAGAGATGGAGAAGGCGAGCTGGCTTTATCTATCCTCCAGTCCAGGCTCCTTGCGAAGGCGGAGGGGAAAACGGAAAATGTTTGGGGTTGTCCGGGCCTAGGCGCCTCCCCGGAGCCTGTACCTCGATTAGTTCAATTCCCGCTGCCAGGGGAACCGTTTGGGGTTCTGAGGGGGGCGGAGCGGGGAATGGTGGCGGTTAGGCTCGGCGGCCTGCACTGGGTTTCTGGCCCGAAGCAGTCATTTACAATGGCTTTCCGACCCAGGAGACGGTGGTTTACCACGGGTGGCGGTGGCAGAGCTGGGAATAGCCATCTCCTAAAATGTGCCCGGGAGCAAGGAACCCCTTAAGTGGGAACTGACTGTTTTTCTTTCTGTTGCAGGCCCGAAGGGACCCCCTTTGAGGATGGTAAGAGAGTTTTCTTTACCCACCTTTCAGGAGCCTGCTCAACTGGGGAAAGGAAAGGGTTCCCGGTCATCCTGGAGGTGCCTCCCACTTAGGGACCTGCCTCTCCCTAGCCTCTGCCGACTAAGGGCTTGAGTGGAATCCAGTATGTGGCAGGTTGTTCTGGCTATTGTCTGCTTAAGTAGAACTGCTGCACCTTTTTCGTTCGTTCTTTTTTTAAAATCTGGGTAAGGCAGGTACTTTTTAAAAGGAGCATCATAGTACTTAAGGTGCTTAAGGATTTCTGAGGTTTGGGCTGTGATCGTGCTAAATTCAGCTCCCTATCAAGATGCTGAGTTAGTATAAATTCAACCAGTTGCTGATAGAGTCAAGAGACCCTAGAGACCATCTAGTTCAGAATTCTGCTCCCAAGGGCAGGAACTGTTCAGCAGGTGCTTAATATGTGTTTGTTGGATGTTGAGTGGATGCAAGAATCCCTTGCGCACAACTGTCTGGTGTCTGCAATCTCACTGGCTGCCTGTCAGCCTCACTACTATTAAGATGGTCTTGAATGGCCAATTTGAGTATAACATTGTTTCTTATTTTTAAGTGTGTGCTTTTATCAAGACTATGGTCAGTAATCTCAAAGCTGCTTCAGAATTGAGGTTAGCTTTAATGTACCCTCTTGACCAGTGCCCAACCTACTTGAAGATACTACATGTAATTTATTATAGGTACATGACTTTTAATTGATTTAGGCTTAATTTTTAAATACAAGCATGTTAATTGATTTCTGAAGATTTTTCAGAATCATTTGGAATTAATTATAGATTCATGTGCAGTTGTAAGAAACAATACAGAGAGCCTGTATACCCTTCACCCAGTTCCACCCTCCTTTGATCACATCTTGAATAACTATACTACAGTATCACAACCAAGAAATTGACATTGATACAGTATTACATTTGTGTGTGTGTGTTTACTTGTTGATGGTTTTTTGCAAGTTTAATACACTTAAAAGATGGTTAAAAGTATTTGAACTACTGACTGACATCTTAGTTCTACTCATGAAATTCTTTAATATTTAAGGTATTTAAAAAATAAAAGAATCTTGCTGTTATTTTTTTCTCAATGATTTACCTTCCTTTAAGCATGTAGCATTTGATATATATGCACATAACTCAGTTTGAAGGTAGGAACAAAAACATTTCTGCACACTGCTTAGCGCATGCTGTTGTTGTCGAGTTGGATTGCTTTCTGATGGTACCAGTCCCTAAAAGGTTGTGAGGTAGGTCAATATCAATCAGTTCTATAATTTGTCTCACATACTCACATTGCCCTAAGAAACTGTAGACAGTCACCTGAATACTTTTAGCTGCCTCTTTACCTTCACTCCCTGGGTAAATATCAGTGCTCTTCAATGCTGCAATGCACAGAAATGACAGTAGGAGAAAGTGATTCTAAGAGCATACTATTTGGTGCAGTTAATCATTTGAACTGATCCATAGCAAGAGCTAGCTAGACTTAACTTTCCTCTACTAGATTGGTATCTAGTTCTTTATATCTAAGCTTTATGTGCAGATTAACTGTGTATTTGCTTTAGCTCTAGCAGGCTTAGTTTTCACTGGCTTCTTTTTTCCTCCTCACTTCACTCACACTGCTTTATGCTGGGCACAGCTTTATTAATAGTACATCACTTTTTTGGGGGTTAGGTGCTTAAATATTTCAAGGGTGCTTCTCTTGTTTTAAGTGGTATGAATTGAAAAGGTACTTAGGGAATCCATTTTCTACCTGGACCTTCCCCTTGACATTACTGCCTCTATTTTTAATGATGTGTATCTCCATCCTGGCATTACTGAAAGGAATTTCTCCGGCTAAATGACACTACCCTTTTCTGATTCATTCTTTTGAATAGTGTGATATCCATGGATACTTCGTCAGGTGTCTAGAACACTAACCATGGCTATAAAAATATTTTGACCATATTTTCAATACCCCTTTAATTACAGTTAGGGAATTTACTGGAAATGACTACGGACAAGCACCATAGTTGATTTTGCTGTTTCCAATGTATTATATAAATGAACAGCTCCCAAAGTACTTCTGCTTCTTCATTGAAACCACTTGTGGTAGAAGTTTCTGGAACAGCCAGGCCCTAGTTAAAGAGATGAAACCTTAAGAAAAGAAACTCTTAAAAGTATTTTGATTTAACTTTACACGCTTGAAATAAGAGGAATATGTTCCCAAGAGCTCACACTGCCAAACAAAACATTGGGGGAAAATGCTTCCTCATCAAAATATCTTGGTATATATGCTGAATACAAAGGTTATGGAATATAATAGTCTTCATCGCATCATCTAAAAATTAATAGACAAGGTAAGGTACTAATATTTGCCTTTTATAATATATTCTTAAGAATTTGGGTATAAATCTTTTAAACAAATAAATCACCTAAAATCACTAAGGGTGTTGTTAAGGTAAATAAATCCTATGATGAGTATTTGGGTATTTTAAAAATCAGATTTTTCAGTCATCAAAATTTTTTTTTAAGTACATGTACTATGCTTTTTCTTCAGGGGTCACAAACTGGTGGCCAAATGGCAGAAAACACCTGCAGAAGTGTCTTCTTTGGCCAACACAGTATTAAAAAAAATTTGTATTTGTGAATGCTTTAGGCAGAACATAAAGGTCAGCGGTTTGAACCCACCAGCTGTTCTGTGGGAGAAAGCTGTGGCAGTGTGCTTCTGTAAAGATTACAGCCTTGGAAACCCTGTGGGGCAGTTCTACTCTGTCCTATGTGGTCGCTATGAGTCGGAATTGACTCGATGGTAACGGGGGTTTGGTTTGTTTTTTCCTTGTTGTTATCTCCTCAAGAAGATGAACAAAATCAGTACAGATTGTGTCAACAATGGTGAGGCTTAAATTTTCAGATATTTAAAGCTTAGACTTCTAAATATTCAGAGGATAAGCTCTACTATGCTTTAGAGCCTCCTGCTACCTTAGGTTGACACATATTCAAGAAAAACATTCATTTCAATAGTAGATAAGTTTGCTGGAGATATTACTGCAATTTAAACCAAATAGGATTTTTAAAAATTATTTCTGTCATGAATTCCCTCCATTAGTGTGAATAATTGAGTTGATTTTATAGTGAAGTACCTTGTGAGTTACACTTAGGGTTTTTGAGAGCAACTAAGAAGGGTTTTTTTGGCTTAGATTCAATTAAGTTCTCATGATAGAGTCACTATTACATGAAAAGGAACCAGTGGACACGCTTAAAACTATTCCCCTTCTATCCTGGGGACAGGCTATCATAAGGTTTTTAAAATAATTTGATTGTTGATTTGTATTTCTAGCATTGGTTTTTTAACCCTTGTGCTTTCATTCTTTCTAGTCCATTTCAAAAGCACTGGAGGGTTTAAGGTGGCAGCTGACTAAAATAGGCCTTTGAGGTCTTTCAGTCTTCTAAAGGAAGAAGGCCCAATTTTGGCTCCAGTTTTATTGTCACTTTATTTTGAGGATGTTTTCAAAATGCACAGTGGCTAAAGTTATCTTGCAGGCAGCTTTATGTTTAAGATGGCTGTCTCTAAGTTTAGCGGAGAATAATGGCAAAAGAAAAAAAAAGCACCTTTGTCTGGGTGGTGGTTGTTAACATGTCTGTCTGTTTTTAGAGCAATTCCTGGAGATGTATCTCTTAGTTGGTCTCTCCTCTCTACCCTACATCTTTGCGTTATTTCATTTAATACCTTTAAAGAGTTGCATAGCATTAAAAAACAAAGTGCTATTGAATTAAGTGATACATACATTTTCTTAAACCTTTTCCTTTCTAACTACAGGAACGTTTAAGCTTACAATAGAATTCACTGAAGAATATCCAAATAAACCACCTACAGTTAGATTTGTCTCTAAGATGTTTCATCCAAATGGCAAGTATCACTTTTAATGCAGTATTTTAAACTACTCCCTTTGCTTGGAGTCTGAGAGCCTCCTGGTTTTGATTATCATTTGCTTATTAAACTAAACTAAGGATGCTTTTGAGGTTTGCTGTTAATGTTAAACCAGATTGGGGTAGTCCGTGTTGGGGTTATTTTCACTAGCATTTAGAACAAGTTTTCAAGTCTGGATGCATATCAGAATTGCAATGGCACATTTTATAAATACAGGTGACCTGGCCCCACTCCAGACCTACTGAACATCAGATTCTGTGGTTGAGGGCCAGGTATGCGGTACGTTAGAAAACTGCTACAGGTGGTTCCAACTTAACCATTTGCTTTTTGTCTGGTAGTAAGCCTAGAAAAGCTTGCTTCCAATTCAGGTTAGTATTTTCCAGAGTATCAGATATTTTTATTTTTATGCTAAAATGTTTTGTGAACTGAGCTATCTTTTGGGTGTTATTTCAGATAGGAGCTATAGCTTCTAAATTTGGTGGAATGAATTTCCCACAGATCTATGGATGGCTAGAGCCCCTGTTAGAAAATGTGTATGATTTCCTGGATAATAGGGCAGTCTTCTCAGAAGGAGCACTAAAAGTATCTTCCAGTTTTATACTGATCAAATTTGCCATTCTGTGATCATTCTGATTATTTCACTAGGAACGATTATGACTTATCTTTTTAAGAAGCTAATTGGGAAGCAGCCTAGGCATCTCTTTAAACCTCAAAAGCAAAGTATTATTGCCTCTATTTGCCTTAACTATAATGTTAAAACCTTAATGGTTTTGTTATGTTTAATGTACCTACTTCTATTCTCTTAGTCTATGCAGATGGTAGTATATGTCTGGACATACTTCAGAACCGTTGGAGTCCAACCTATGATGTGTCTTCCATTTTAACATCCATACAGGTGAATTTTCTTTAACGTGACCATGGCCCTTGATGTGTTTATATTAGCAACCGAATTGTTTTTAAAAGTCTAACTTAATGGACCTTTTTTCTTTTGGCCAAAGCTTGTTTGCTTTATAGGTCATTAGGACCCAAGCCACCAGAAAATATACTATATACATTTGCCTAGCTCCTAGCAGATTACTGTATAACTCTAGGTTTGTATGATAAAGAGAGCAAACTTAGCTGTCATTTAGGACCATCCATTGAGTATCACTACCTTATAAAGTAGCTGTGTTTGTTCTTAATTTATTTTTTGCATTGAGGAACTGACATTTAAAAAATTGTCTCTATAGTCTCTATTGGATGAACCCAACCCCAATAGTCCAGCAAACAGCCAGGCTGCTCAGCTGTACCAGGAGAACAAGCGGGAATATGAAAAGCGTGTTTCTGCAATAGTAGAACAGAGCTGGCGCGATTGTTGACCCGGGTGCAGCAAAAGAAGAGGATGGTCATAAGAAAAATACATATGTGTTTGTCACCTTCCTGTTCCTCAGTGTCATTACATTTACTTTATTAAAAGAAAAATAGCTGTTGTGCTGTTTCCATCTTCCCTTGCCAAGCTTTTCCTATCCTTTCTACCCTCTCCTTGAACATCAGAAAACACCCTCTTTGAATTCAAATGTACTGTACCTGGGTTACTTGCAAAAATCACTAATGCTTCATTCCTTTTCTGTGGTATTTCATCTCCAGTCTTAGGGCAGCATTGTGTTACTGTACTTTACACTAAGCTTTTAAAGTGAATTGTTACACAAGTGGTGCTTATGCATAGGTTGACGACCAGGATGTTTTTAACAAAATGATTGAAGTATTTCATCCTGGCTGGTCCTTCACTTATGGTGGATTTAGAAGTGAATATATTTGGAATATGGCCTACAGAAAATATGGAAACAAATCCATATGAACATCCATTTTGAAAGAGCACTGGAGCCTAAAAATCCTAAAACTAAAATCCAACTACTATGGGTTCAGTGGTAGGAAGGACAATGTTAAAGGACTTAGCCAAAGGAGTGCAGCAATTGTAGTAACTGACACATCCTCTCCTGGTGAGAATTGACTGGACTACCCATGATAAGCTTCCGAACACTGAAGTCTTCTGGGTTTTTGCTTTGTAAAGAGGTGTGGCAACGAGGAACGGGAACAATCATTAGTTTTTAAGCTATGGAAGGTTGGAGATCCTTTAACCTTTTTAAAGGAGCAGTGCTGTCCTAGATAAATAGGCTTACAACCCTCCGTCTTTTTTCAGTTTGATTTACTCCAAGGAAGGGAGCATATCTGTGGCAAACTCTTTTCCACTCAAATCCTAAGTTAATGCTGCATGCTTTAGTTAGTTTCTTTCCTCTCAGCATTCTAAGGATCTTAAAGTCAACGTCTGTAATTTTTCTTTGACTATTTATCCTTTCAGATACAGTTACCTTTAAGTAGCAGTGTGGGACAAGGCTTGTAAATGTTTTGTCTAATGTTACATTGTCACCTCTTGTGCATTCATCACTCTTCTAAATCTAACTTTGCACAAGTAACCCATGTAAAAAATGTACATTTTTCAAAACTTGTAAATAAAAATAACCTTAAAATTTTGTAGTCAAGGTATAATACTCATTTCCCCCCTTAAGCATTTTAAAAAGAAAAATGTTGATTCTGGGAGTAGAAAAAAAGAGTACGTTGGAGAGGACCTTTTGGTTTGTTTCTTTTCAGTCATGTGAATGCTTCCTTTTAAACATTTTAACAGAATATAAAACTATTAAATAAAACACTTTAGTATATATTATAGTCAGTCATGGGAATAAAATTGTGATGGGGGGGATGAACCTGGATATTTGCCAGAGCCTTCAGACACCAAGATTTAACTTGATCCTGACATTCTACCTCTTAAAAAGCCCTAGCTTAAAAGCAAACAGTACCAAACTATTACAAAGTGTGTTTTAAATCCTATGTAAAGTTTGGGAGTATATACCGGTATCCTTAATCACCTTGTTCAGACAAAACTTTCTTCTGAACAGCCCGTCTAATTTTAAAGAGAAAAGAACAGTGACTTTGTGAAAACTATCACAGGTTCTCTTGGTACTTGTTTAGGGGGCTAAATGAAATTAAATCCTTATTGGTGCATGTACCCCACTCTTCCTTTAAGACTTGGTACTTAAACCTCAATTGGGGGGTTCATTCTATACTGAATACACATTCACTGGTTTGTTGTACCTAGGAGAAAACATTTTTTGCTCAATTCTATGTTTGCTTCAAAGTAGGACCACATCAACTTGGTCCTTATTTGGTGGATTAGTTTTACATTAACTTTTTCACCCTGCTGTGGCCAGGTATCTTAAATATTTTGACACTGTTAAATCATACTAGAAAACAAATTAGAGATTGGGAATGGACAGATTTAATAATATCTTTTTCTTTTATACACCTCCTAAGAAATACCATTCCCAATTTCACAGAATAATCCTTTCAAACACAATAGAGCCAACAAGCTGACACCCCCAAAGCATCATACCCATGGTCAAAGGCACCACAAACCATTCATTTGAACATTGAATGCTAATTTGCCTTTTTTTTTTTTAACTAACACCACAGGCTGCCTGCATGTAATTATAACAAAGTTAATTAAAATGGATTTGAGAGGTCCCTTTTCAAATGGCAGTCAGATTTGAACTTGAGTCTTCAATTCTGCACCTGCTGATGTGAGGAAGGGGGTTTGATGAAGAACCAAAGTTGTAATTAGAGTCCTTTATTTTTATCTCCAGCTTCAGGGGTTACTCATAGCAGTGAGTGCATTTTATACTACGAAAAAAAGAATCCCAACAGAATGCATGAAATTTCCATTCATTTTGCAATCAAAGGGGAGGAAAAAAATCTGAAAAGTAGATCTCTGAGACTCAATGCTATATTTAACTGAAAACAGAGCTAGTTCCCCAGTATTACAATATTATTTAAGTAATTAAAACTTGAAACTGCTCATTTACCTCTGTCGATTTTATAGCAAGGTTACTGGGTTAAAAATGACTGCTATCTCAAAGAGAAAATACAGGAACCAACTGAAAGGCGGCAAAATAGACCAGCAAGGTTGGCATCAGCTCATTCTCAACAACCCCATTTCTCTACATACTTATTCCCAAGCAGAGTTCCGTGACTTCGTCCTAACTCTGCACCAGTCCTAAAGCTGACCTAAGAAGTTAGGAAACCTGACCCCTTGAATCCAGGAACCAAATCTGTATATACTTGGCCCAGTTATTTGGGAGCCTTCTTAACTGTAACTCCATTAATATTCTGTTGGACTCATCTAACCAAACCAGAATTACATATAACATTTCCTTACTCCACTCTCCCCCCAAAAAAAAATCATTGTGGGAAGAGGAAAGACATACAAAGAGAAAAATGATTCAAGATTTCATGTCCCTTAATCCCTAAAGCCACCCTTACTCAGAGAATTGAAGACTGGCTGTTTTAATTCACTAACTGAACCATATGTTCTCAAGGTGGGCATGAACCTTGTAGGTATTAAAAACAAACAAAAAACTTAATCCTATAAAATTTATTAAGACTTCAGCTTAGTTCCCTTTGTGATTGTGAAAATACTAAGTTTGCCAAAATGAAATGCACACCTCGTTTCTCTTGCCAACAAAAGGCCACACACTGTAGAGAGGGAGGCAGCGGAAAGCAAATAGCATATACATGGTTAGTCATTGTAGGTGACCACCAGTTACAGAGATCCAGGTGCGAAGTTAATCCCTTCGCATTGAAAAAATACTGACTTAGGTACAATGTTAACATATAAATTAATTATAAATGTTAATATATAAATTGTAAGTATAAATAAGGAGAGGAAAGGAAAATTACTTCTTATTGTGACCAATCACTTGTCAAGCATGGTGCTAAATATTTTAGACACTGTCCTGAACAGCAACCCACTGGAGAGGTTTAATTGTCAATATTAATATTCATCTGTGCCGTTATAGGTAAAGTTACACTTCATTTATCTGCGATACAAAAACAAAATCATGTAAGAGTGCACAGCCTAAGATTTGGTTGTAGCCAGCATGTTGGTCCACAGGAAAAATGTGATGGGTGACTGACTAGCTGTTCCTGTCTGCTGAGTCATGTTTATCCACGTGTGTTCTGGTGTAGAAATATTTTGTGCAATATTTGAAATATTTCCCTTCTCCAAAGACCCAGAGTGTCCTTCCTAGGTTGCTGCCCAGAAATAAGTACACCACCATTTTGATCAACTTGGGCTCCTTTTATTCAGGAAGCATACACTAATTCTTTTTATACATTTTTTTTACATTCCAGAAATAAGCGAAAATAGCAGTTTTAAATATGTTACAAAGTTGGCTTTTGAAGCTTAATAAGCTTTTTGAGAGAGGGACCAGCCAACTGACCTTTTCATCAAAGCACCAATGTCTCTTCAGTCTTTTACATCAAGCTCTACCACAGCTGTAGTTCGGTTGCTTTGGATGTGCTGCACATCCAAACCCTGTGAAAGCTATAATGGAGAGTCGCTGTGAGTCTCTCTGCAAGGCACCAAGAACAAACAGTTCAAGCTTCCTTTCTTCGGATTGAATCAAACCGTTTTTGAATCCTTTCATTGCTCTCTCAAGTAGTGCTCTCTCAGCATGAAGACTAAAATTTGTTAAAACCCATATATCACAAGATACAGTAAATCACTCCCAATATTCTGGAAATCACATGGTAGAAGTTATAAATAAATGAACACTAAAATTACTTTAAGAAAGTTTTACATCATTTAGTTGGTAAGGACATTTACATGTACAGCACAATTTACTGTTAAACATTCTATAGCTAGCTTCACACAAAGATGAAAAGAGATAATACAAAATGATTTGACAGTTCCATAATTCTGGAAGTAAGACTATAGTTTTACTGTAGTCAATATCAACTTTACATATTGTTGCAGATTGCTGTGCTATGCCCTTTAAAATGAGAATTTCTTTCTCAGAGTAAAATTCCATTTGGATATGTGTTCTTGCTTATACAAACTGCTAAAATCCAAGGGACACAGCAATATCAAAGACACAAACAGTAACTGCACAATATCATCTTCTGGATTAAGCTAATACAAGTGGACAGAATTCTCCAGGTTCCAAAATCCAATAAAGCACTATATGAAATGAACAAGGTGAAACATCTGAAGAATGAATATACTCTGCAACCAGAAAATGTAGCATCTCTTTAGTTTAATTCATAAATCTGCCCCATTAGGCATTTACAAAATAAATTAGTAAGAACTCAATTTGCTTGAGGCATTACAAGCTCGTAATGCCCCACCTGGCCTTCCTGTTTGAGCTGATCGAGTAGGTCTTCCTTCCGCCTTTTTCTACCTACCACCAGGTACCTATCATGGCCCACCCCATGAGACTTACTCTTAAGGCCATACTTCTGGGCAATCTGGTGTATTTGCTTCCGCTCATCATTAGTCAGCTCTGTAGAGAAAGTCAAATCCGAGTGGCTCTCGGAGCGGGCGTAGTTTCTGATGATCTGTTCAATATCTCGCTTGGCAATTTTATTCACTCTCTCTACGTCAAGACCAAGCCCTTCTCGCTTATGCTGCTCTTTGACTGAGATAGGCTCCCGAATGCCCTCACCAGATTTACCTAGCCCACCCCCAGTCCAACCCATCTTCCTCAGCAGCTGATTTCCAATGTTATCTTCTCTGATTTGTTGTTTGTAAGCCTCCTCTGCTGAGCGGCCCTGAATTTCATTTCTGGAAATCACATCTTCAATAGCTCCTTTCTTCAAGTTGTTAATGACAGTCGGCTGGGTCTTTTTGAGGGTTTTCACAGCTTCCCCAGCAGCTTCATACTTGACAGTTTTCTTCACTCCAACCGCTTCAGCAATTACTTCACTCTCTAGAATTACCTTGCATTTCCACCGGAGGCCTGTCATTCTCTCATAGACGTATTCAACTGTCATCCGGTTAAACTGAGCCGTGTCGTTCAGTGTGCACACAGGATTTGAAGAATTCTCATAAACCACAAGATCCTTTATGTCTTTCTTCTTTCCAGATCCCTTGGGTGAAGAGCCTGTTTGGCATTGTGAACTTTTGACAGATGGGTAAGTGGGTTGTGTTTTTTGAAGAATCTTTAAAGCCTCATCAGCAGCTGCGTGTTTACTTGTTTTTTTGGTTCCATAACCTTCGGCTAAGCAATGATCTTGCAAAAACACCCGACAACGCCATGTGCGATTTGGCATCATCTCATATTTGTATTCAACTGACATCTTGTTGTACGAGGCAGAATTGTTAAGGATGCCAATTGCATCGTTTGCATTTTCCGTCAGGACAAAATTGGTCCAGTGTTTGGCAGAAGCATTAAATATCGGCTGCCCACAAGCATCTTTAGCCAGCACCACCAGCTCTTCCTGTGGTTTCAGAGCTGGAGGAAAGTCATAAGAAGGCATGCCAATCTGACACACCACAAGGTCCTCTCCAATTGTGTGCTTGAATTTCCGTCGGACAACTCTAACTTCAATGCGTTTCTGCAAGAGTTTTATAGCTAGTTCAGTAGCTCGATCCCTGGACCCATTCTTGCTGCCAGCATAACCTGTAGTTAAGTAGATATTTTGGCATCTAACTTCACAAGCGTAGCCATCTATTAGAAGTTTTTTATTTTTGGGGATGTCAGCAGGAGGGATTTCTTTCAGAGGGGTGTATATATACTCAGGATTTGTCTTACATGCCTGAATACAACGAGTTAACATATATGTATAATTAATTTTATCAGATCCAGAAGTCATCTCTGGATTAGAAAGGTTCTTCCAGATAGTCGCTGTTAATTTTTCAATAAAATACTGCTTCTCGGCTACCAGTGACTCAGGAAATGTCTGTGATGGTGAAGGCTCGGGAGCTGACTGAGAGTTTGCCTGCTGTGATGTGCTGCTTGGGGCAGGGTTTCCACTGTCAAAATACATGTTGGCTGTTACAGGCTGGTCTTTTGTGAAAATAAATCCTGACGAATCACAATACTGAGAATTCCCATCTTGTATACTGAAAGAGTCTTGAGTATAATCTTGGTAGATGTCTCTTGGCATGCTGGCAAAATGTGTTTGTTCATTTACCTCTTTTGTTTGAGGGCCACAAGGATCTTCCTGTCTTTCATCTTTTGAACTACTAGCTACAAAATGTACAGGCTCAAAACGAGGTCTCGCATGGAATTTGGAACCGGCTTGCTTTTTAGGAGGATTTTGACCTACAGAATGAGTGAAATTTACAATTCATTAAAAAGGAATATTTCAAAAGAACCAAGCAGGAAAATAGTACCAACCAAATTATTTGCAAGCTGCATTGTTGGTACAAGCTATTTCCCATCACAAAACCTTTAGGTTATTTAGGTGAAGGGATTCGAATATCAATGTAAGGTCCCAGCATAAAGAGGGATGCTCCCCGTCCTTCTATGTGTAAGGGAAGGCTCTTGTTAGAAAATATATCATTGAATCAGGTAGGCAGGTCACCACCATGGCATAATTGGTAGATGCTTTCACAGTGAATGGGTTAAAACACAGGTGAAGTATACTCAGAATAAGCAGTATTGTTCCAGTATAATTTCATACCACTTGTGCTTAAGGAGTGCACATGGAACAGCTGGCTCTAAGGTAACAGAGATGACCAGAGGCATTCACAAACCCTTTCTCTTTTGTATCAGAGGTGAGTGACTCTATGATGGTGTTTTATAGTTGTGACTAAAAATCAAATAAAAGAATTACCAAACGATCCCAAAAGTTTCAACCTCAAATTCTTAGTCCTGACCTCTTCTGCACAACAAGGTGCTTGCTATATTTTATTTCTAGAAGAAACAACAGCTAGAAACTTAATGGATTGTAGGGGAAACCAAATCTAAAGCTGTAAAAGACCTCTCGATTGAGGCTATAGCAGACATTCTGCTAAAGCTTCCTCCCTGTAACACTGGTCAGTAGAAAGGTGGCCCATCTTGGACCCATCCAAGAGGATTTAGTTACTTAGATACACAAATGATAGAAGTATAAGGTGTTCTATTTGGAGGAAGGCACCATGGCACAGACTTCAAGGATGGCATTATAATCTGACTTCAGTATTCTTAGTTTTCAGTTCTATTTAGCAAGTCTCCAAAAAAAAAAAAAGGTAAATAACTGAAAGTTAAAACTCTTTTACATCTGTGTAATACCCAAGGTTATTTAAAACCATATACCACACTCATATTATTAAAAGAATAATTTTAAAAAAAGCCATGTTGTTTCTTCAAATCCCACCTTCCAGAAATAAGTATACTCACCATCACATGTTGAGAGGTGGCGTTTTTGACCTTTGGAAGGTTTGGACAGCATCAGATCATATGAAGGCATCTCCCCAATATCAATACCTTCAGCCATTTGGAGAATTTTTTCCATCAAGCGTGGGCTGTACCTATTTAAATTAATATAATCTACTGTTAAAACAAATAAGAATGTAGTTCTTAAAAAAGCTTCTAAATGAGCCAGTCTTAAAACTGTCCCTATAGGACTCATAGGACCTTATCAACAGAGTATTCCGGATATAAAACGGAAGAATCTGCCCCCAAAATACTTCCCTATCAAATTGGTTTCCTATCAAATGAGTAATTATGTTACTGTCATTAGAACCCAAGATTTTTCAGCATAAGACATACAAACATAAAATCAAGAAATTTAAGTAAGGATATTATCTTTAATTTGAAATTAAAAATATCAGTATAAACTCATTACCTATTTTTCTCTTTCTAATACACACATGCATATATATATATTCTAGCTCTGTCCAATAAAGGGCCTAGAAGTAATAACTGTTAACAGCTGCTGGGTTGTTAATATCCAGATTGCGGTCTCTATCACTTTCCACTAAAAGGAATCGAGGTCCTTAGAGAAATAGCTGATTCCAGGTCTGGAGTAGGAAACGTTTAAGATGAGCCTGGGAGATCTTCTTGTGCCCGGAGACAAGGAAGCTGTCAAAGACCACAAGGGCTGTGTCAAAAGCAGGACTCAGAAGCCAATTTGAATAGACTCCCACTGGCAAAAGTGAGCCAACTAAGTGTCAATAAGAACAGTAACTACAACGGATTAAAACACATCAGATATGTTTTAAGGAATCCATGAGTTCATAATGATACTCAAACAATCATTATTGGCCACCTTTGGAGGATGGTAGGAAATCAAGTCATTACTCTGAAAACAGGTAAATATTAAAGGAAGAAGGCAAGCATTTATCCTGCGTTCTCTTGTACAAAGTGTTCCTCAGAGCAACCAAAGAGGTAATGAGGGAAAATCTTTACAGAAGCATTCCAGCTAATAAATGAAGGAAGGACAGACTACTACCACTTTGCAACACAACGAAATAATAAATCCAGGCAATGATCATCCGAAAACCAAAACCAAACCCGTTGCTCTAGGGTCGATTCCGACTCATAGCAATGATCATCAGTGGCTGCTAAAACTATTGGGTGAAAAGTTGATAGGGAAGAACTCAGAAACAGACCCACACAAATACGTACAACTGATTGTTGACAAAGGCTCAAAAGCAATTCAACGGAGAAAGGGTAGCCTTTTCAACAAACGATGCGGGAGCAGTGGGCATCCACAGGCAAAAAACAAACAATAAACCTCACCTAAACCTCACGTCTTCTACAAAAACTAACTCAACATGCATCATGGACTTAAATGTAAAATGTAAAACTATACAACTTTTAGAAAAATACACAACAGAAAATCTTCAAGATCTAGGCCTAGGCAAATAGTTCTTAAACTTGACCTCAAAAGCATGATCCATAGAAGAGAAAACTGATAAAAAGGACCTCATCGACATTAAAAACTTTTGCTCTTGGAAGAACGTTGGGAAGAGGATGAAAAGACAACCTACAGACTGGGACAAAATATCTACAAACCACATATCCACCAAAAGTCTAGTACCAAGACCATAAGAAGACCTCTCAAAACTCAACAGTAAAAAACAAACAAAAAAACCCAACTATAAAATGGACAAAAGACACGAACAGAACATTTCACCAAAGAGGATATACGTATGGCAAATAAGCACATGAAAAGATGTTCAACATTAGCCGTCAGAAAAATACAAATTAAAACCACAATGATTGGTGAGGATGTAGAGAAACTGGAACACTCATCCACTACCGGTGGGAATGTAAAATGGTACAGCTTCTGTGGAAAACAGTTTGGTGGTTCCTCAGAAAGTTAAACACAGAATTACCATATGACCCAGCAATTCCACTCGTAGGTATATACCCCAAAGACTTGAAAGCAGGGACACAAATACTTGTGCACCAACACTGCAGCACTATTCATAATAGCCAAAAGGTGGAAACAACCTCGATGTCCATCAACAGATAAACGGATAAGCAAAATGTGGTATATCCATACAATGGAATATTATTCAGCCATAAAGAGAAATGAAGTTCTGATACATGGTATGGCATGGATGAACCTTCAAACATTATGCTGAGTGAAAAAAGTCGGAAACAAAAGGAGAAAATACTGTATGATCCCACCTACATGAACTATCTAGAATATGAAAATGCATAGAGACTGAAGTTTATTAATGGTTAGCAGGGGTGGATGGGAGGGGGAAAGGGGGAATTACTGCTTAAGGGGCAGTAAGTTCCTATTAAGGACGATGGAAAAATCTGGAAATGGATTGTGGTGATGACTGCACAACATGGTGAACGTAATTAATGTCACTGAGTTGTACACATGAAAATGGCTGAAGTGGAAAATGTTTTGTTATATATATTTTACCACAATAAAAAACGCTTAGCGTGTAGATACTAATAATTATCAAAAACAAAAAACCCACCATGATATCACTACACACCTATCAGAATGGATAAAATAAAAAATGGTGACAACACCAAATGCTGGCAAGGATGCGAAGAAACGGAATCACTCACACGTTGCTGGTGGGGATGTAAAATGGGACAGCCACTCTCTGGAAAACAATTTGGCAATCTTTTATAAAACCAAATATGGAATTAGCATATGACCCAGTAATCACCCTCTTGGGCATTTATCCCAGAAAAATGAAAACTGACGTTCACACAAATACTTGTATGCAAATGTTCACAGCTGCTTTACTCATAATAGCCCCAAACTGGAAAGAGCCCAGATGTCCTTCAACAGGTGAATGGCTAAACAAACTCTGTACACACATACCATGGAACACTACTCAGCAATAAAAAGGAATGAACCACTGATACACACAATATCATATAAGGGTGGGAGGGATGCCGATGTGGTTATAAAAGGGCAATGTGAGGAATCCTTGTAGTATTGCAACTGTTCAGTATCTTGACTGTGGTGGTGGACATAGGAACCTACACACGTGACGACTTGTATAGAACTAAATATACACATGTAAATGAGTACTCATAAAACTAGGGGAATCTGATTAAGATCAACAGATTATAACAAAGTCATTATCCTGGTTGTGATATTATACTATAATTTTACAAAATGTTACCATTGAGGGAAACTGGGTAAAGTATATGCAGGATCTCTCTGTATTACTTCCTACAACTGCATGTGAATCTACAATTATCTCAATAAAACTATCAACTACAAAACAGTTGGTGGGGAACTTTACAATCTTAATACCACTAAAAGTGGGACAATGAGACATGTGCCCCCAGATGTGATCCAATGGGACATACACAGCACTATCTATAAAGTACTCCTGCCTACCAAATAATTGAACCTGAACCTAATCAAGCCCCTACCTCCCAGTTTACAGGACCTTTGAGGGAAAGAGAAACATGTTAAACATTACTACAAGGATATAATCAGCCAAATCCAGAATGAAGGAAACACTGTGACAACCCAGTTTCTTCATCAAATAAACAGCATGAAAATAAAAGGACAGGGAGAATGGTTATACGTTAAAGGAGACATATCAACCAAATATAATGTGTGGGCCGTGTCTGGATCCTGAATCAAACAAACTAACTGTAAAAAAAAAATTTTTTTTTGAGACAAATAGAGAAAATGGAACATAGGCTAGGCATTGGATGATATTAAGAAATTACTGTTAATTTTGTTGCGTGTGAATAATGGTATTGTGACTCTGTTTTTAAAAATCCTGATATATACTTCAATATTTTACAGGTGAAATGATGTCAGGATTTTCTTTAATATACTCCAGACTACCCCCCACAAAAGAACTGGGGACAGGAGAGAAGAAATAAGAAGGGTAACATAACAAACTGTTGATAACTGCTGAAGTTGAGTAATGGGTACATAGGGGTTCATTAAGCTATTCTCTTTTGCTTTTGTTTTCCGTAACAAGAAGTTTAAAAATATATAATTTTTTAAATGGCTCCTTATGAAGTAGATTGGCTGCCTGACAGAAACAAAAATATGGGCTCAAGTAAAGTAAGTTTTGGTTATCATGGGTACCTGCTTACCTTTCTACCTTCAGAGCCTTTCGGGGAAGTTACCAATAGAGACCCATGGTGGCATTTGAGAAGAAAAGTTCTGAAAATGAGTAACTATCATATCTTTATATGAATAGGTTCTGAACTTTAAGGGGGTAACAATTTCCATTTTCGGCACAAAAGGTTTCATACCCAGCAGACATCTTTCCTTGGAAAGCAGAGAAGTCAAGGCGAGGATTCCCAGACAGCTTACCAGAAGCTAGCGCAGTAGTAACCTGCGCTTCCTACTGGTAACTGTTGCTGCTGACACCAGTATTTAAATACTAAGCAACTGCACTTTCATTTACTCGTACATGAACTTCAGGAAGTTTAGCCTAAAAATGTTATACATTCTCTATCTTACTTCCATTCAGATCTGGGAGTCCAGTTTCTAAGGTGTGAGATGAAAAAAACATACATATGAAAACGAGGTGAAGTCTACCTAAATAGTTACTGCAACCAAGCTACTCACCTTGAATTTCAGTCAAAACTGCTCTCCAGACCTTCAATTAGAGCATGATTCCAAACACGGTGTACAACTGTAAATGACATGTATGTCATACGGGTGCATGAATGACGCATTTGGGGCTCACTCCATGAGCACTCACTCTTCTCTCAGGTTTCTGCTAGCACTAGTAATGATTATACCTTTGTACTGTTCCCTATTCATTATATCTGCCACGAAATCCAACATCACCCATAGGCTATAAAAATAAGCCTTTACGTAGGCTGTCAACACAGTCAGCTTCTCGGTCTTTTATTAGGGAGCCATAATGCCAAAGAAGCCCAACCAGCAGGAATAATAATGGAAAAAACGTATAGTACGTAACACTGCACTATTCAAAGAACAATGCAAAAATTAATCTAGAGTCTTTAATAAGACCACCACTAGGATTTCATTCCTATTTCTAAAATTCTCCATAGAGTAGTTACCCAGGGATAAAGAAGTGGTTCCACAAATTTGAAATGAGCCAAAGCAGTAAAGCTTTCATTACTCAATTTCCATAGTGTATTTTTTCATAGTGTATTTAATAGTAATACTTTTTCTCCAGGTGTTTTAGGAAACCCACACAGAAAAACACCTACAATCCCAACCACTGATAATATTTTGAGATTTACCTTTTACTCCTTTTCCTATGCTTTCCATACCACTACCAACCCTAAATCACTATCAGACTATCTATGTTAATTTGCAATCTGGTGGTGGTGGAGGGTGGTTTTTTTTTTTCTTTTTATTGTACTTCAGGTGAAGGTTTACAGAACAAATAGTTTCTCATTAAACAATAGTACACATATTGCTTCATGAAATTGGTTAACAACCCCACAACATGTCAACCCTCTCCCTTCTCGACCTTTTTTTTTTTTTTTTTGGTGAAAATACACATAGCCTAAGATACACCATTTCAAAAATTTCTACATGCACAGTTCAGTGACATCGACT